GTAGGAGGGGAAGGGTAGGGTCGTGCCAGAGAAGGGATTTGGAGGGGTCGTTTTCCCCTCCCCCGCGGCAGAACGTCTGCTGTGCACAGAGTATCTTTCAAAAACTTGTGGATTCTTGAGGCCAAATTATCTCACTGGTACCATTTGGCAGCTTCGTGAAAGTTCACAAGTTTCACCGATACAATACCTGTTAGTTGACGTGAATTAGCAAAAAGGAACTGAAGTGCAAAATACCCCTTCAGAGCCACATAGCGCACAAACCCCATTTTGCCATCTCAAAAAAGTAAACCTGTCGTTTGAATCGAATATAGGAGTGAGGGTTGCAATCCTCAAGGAATCTTTTATCCGATTTCCTTCATAGGGCCTCGGACAGCGCCTACCCTTTGGTTGATAGAAACGTGTTTTACAGAGTGGGCTCGTGAAGCCGATAAAGGTAGGGGTATCAAATTCAACTTAGAAACTTAAAACTATCTACATGGAACAGAGTTTTTTCTCCAAGTTTGTGTGTTTGACTTCTTAATGAGCCTTCGAAAGCCAAAGGCCCACTCCGAGATGACCATGCTGCGGAGACCAAAACAAACTGTGCCCGGTACACACCATCGTTGAGATTCGCCAACGGGGTCCTATTAGGCAGCGTTCATACTTCGCGACAGCAGTGGCGATCGCCGCGATCGTCGGTACGCGTCAGAGCGCGCCCCAACGCTATTACTTGACCGCTCGCTTTGATAAATAAGCGTAAATAAGTGTAATACCTTTTTTCTCTTAATAATGGCTACCAGCTGGAAACTGAGGACTTTCTCTACTTAAGAGGATCTGGAATATAAGGGAGGAGATGATTTCACCTTTCATTTAGGCCGGGATAAGTGCAACTTCATTTAATAGGTGAGCTTCTCTTTCTTTTTTTCATTGTTTCAATTTATATGTGTCTTGAAACTTTCCTACTGGCTGAACTATTCCAACTTCCAAAGTCGAGTTCAAACAACGAAAGAAAAAAAAGTAGCAATGAACTTACCTAGGAATCGAAATAGAAAAAGAAAGCCTTCAAGTTTTATCCACCTTCCCTTCAGTTTAGTACCTGAGTCAACTGCACCTTCCCTTGAGTTTAGTACCTGAGTCAACTGCAATAAGAGAAAAAAAAACAGGAAATCAAGCCAATTCCTCCTAATAGCACTCGGAGCGGTCCAAGTAATAGCGTTGGGGCGCGCTCTGACGCGTACCGACGATCGCGGCGATCGCCACTGCTGTCGCGAAGTATGAACGCTGCCTTAGATTGCTGGAGGAAAGAGCTCGTACCAGAAGAGAAAATTTGGGGTGAGGGGATTGTATATAGCAAAAGCTACACTTGAAGTCCATATTATGTACCGCGCAGGTCCCTCGTGTAATAAACGAAAGAAAGTAAGAAAGGCCCAACGCCAGTACGTGCCCTGAGAGTGCCTTCCTCTACGCAGAGTTCTTTCTCTTGTAAGGTAAGGGGCCCTAGTGCCGAATGCGCAA